CTAGTTTATAACCTAGTCTAAACAATACAGAAACAAAATATATGAAATTTATTTTGTATAAATTTGGGAAATATTCTATAACAATCTACAGACCGGTACTCGTTCGCTCGTCCAACGAGAAACGTTATAATTAATAGGTCTCATAATAAAAAAAACAGAAATAATGTCAGACTCCTGTGTTATGGATCCAGTACCTCTATTTCTATTTTTTATTTCATCTTTAATACTTACATACCCTTTTAGATTTTTCGTAGGATTTGGAAACCGATAACATGCTTAATTATTAGTACATGCAAATAATGCATCGGAATTTGAAGTGTTAACATGTTATTCCATGTCTATTCATAAAAAGTTCATTTACAGATAAATAATTATTTTGTTGTTATACATCTTTCATTTACTTATGAACATGTAGTTGATTCTTGTTTAGGTCTACATTGTACGTGTATATTGTTACGGGAGTTAGTATATATGATTGAGTACTTATAATGTATATTAATTCCTTTGATCAGAAAATAAGTCGGAGAAAGGAGAACAAACCATACCTACATGTGTATGATCGTTAAAGACAATCTTATCAATACCAGATGTGCATATCATGAATGAAAAAAATGCATACACTGTATATTTAGTACACATTATTTTTCTTATTTACAAGAGTTTTCTACATGCACGATGATGCCTTTCAAACAGAAAGAAACAATAATATACATTATAAGCACTTAATCGGTTTGTTCTCCTTACTACCACTTTTTTTCTGATCAAAGGAATTATATAAACACTGGAAAACAATAGAGGTGTCATTATAGTCTGTTCTGGTATAATACAGGTAGATTTTTACCTGTATTTACCTGTTCACCAATAGGAAATACTGTGTTAGCTATAGGAATATTTAACGAATATATTTCCTGGATTTCGTAATATTTACTGGAATTATGAATAAATATATACAAGATTCCAGTTATTACTTAATAAAACACATCAAAATACATTAACTGAAAACCTGTTTTTATTACCTTCATATTAAACCAATATTATACATTTTTACTATACATTAACATGTTTGTTATATACATATTTCATAAAATAGAACTAAAGTTAGCAAAATATTTATGACAAATATAATCAGACAGATATCATGTATATGCAAAAACATATGCAAAGCTGTGAATGAAAATAAATAAAACAAAATTAATTACATGTACACATGGAATTCTTAGCACTGATTGATCAAATTAATCATATTCAAAAAATGCATACATACACAAAGATACATGATATAAAACTAATATAATAGCACTAACTTACTAAAGGTGAAATATTGGAGAGTCCATAAAAAGCACAGATACTGAAAAGTTCATAATTTTAAGGAAACCTAGCAAAGCAACAAATAAAAATTCCATAACGAGCACATTTATCACAATGTCATTCTAAATACAAAATATGGGATGCTGTGTCGGCGTACTGGATTACATCTGTTGTACCATTCTCCAAGCGCTCCTTTCGTTGGTTAAGGCGGCTGTCGTTGTTACGTTAGCGTTTTGCTCTTGGTCTGAGTTGTCCCCCTGCTGCGTGTTGGATGCGCGTTATCTCGTTGATGGCTTGCATTTCGTGGAAGACGCGGATGATGCTGTAGATGTTGGGGTGGGCGTGTTCCACTTTCTTCTTCAGTTTGCTGTGCCATCCCTCTATGCGGTTGGTTGTTATGGGTCCCTCGGTCTCAAAGTGGTTCCAGAGTTGTTGATCTCAGTCAATCCACTGTGTCACAACGTAATCTGTAAATGAAGTGGTGTCTTATGGAACATCAGCATCGTCTATGTCCTCCAGCGATTTGAACCAGACATCTTCTACACGGTCTAACGGAACAAGGGGTAGTACAGCGGCACGCCGTACAATTGGTCGGACATCATCGTTGTTGGCGTAGAGTTGTTGGAGTCCGGTCTACTGGACTTTCCTCCAAACACACTGTGTATAGTGGAATAACCAGCCCTTAAAACTCACAACTGGAAACACTGCGCGGATGGCGATCTGGGCAACAGCCTCAAAGTCCAGGAAACTGTGGTGTGATTGAGTTGGCCGTTGAGTTCTGTCATCTTGGTCTTGAGTAGTGTAAAGAATCTTTATGATAATGATTATGCCTTAGGGGAAAATAATCTAATGAGTGATACTTAGTTATTAATAATTACACTGAAGACGCATTTATTGGCAAAAAGGATTCTCTGAAAATAATGCTCCAATATTAAGTTGCTTCACCCTGAATCAAATCAATTGATATCTAAATTTAAAAATTAAAAATTTACTTAAATTTTCAAAGCATTATCATCTATATGTATATTATTAAGTATATAAAATACATAAAATATCTGTGGATTTCACGTTACTGTTTTGTATAGATCTAGCTAATGAAAAAGGTATATGATATGACAAAAATGGCTAAAATCATGAAAATAGACCATAAAAAAGCTACATGTATATGACAGTACTGTATATATGATACAGGTAATGTGGGAGAACTCAGGTAGAAACCAGGTCAAATATATATGAAACAGACTATAACTGCTATCGCAACATTGCTGCCTCTATGCATTTTTTTTTAAAGTGGGAGAAAGGAGAGCACACATGGGTTCTTCCCTGAACACCAGCTCTGCTTAAATCACATGTTTACATAGGTGGTCAGTTGTGACGATAATGAGTTATAGTCTATTGCAGAAATGGTGTACAGGTACATTGCACAGCCAAATTAACTTCTGATAACTAATCAGATAATCAATTACTGCTAATAATTGCAAAATGATGATAAACATTTAGAGAATAATCTAACTGCATACTTCCAACATATCTCAATGGAAAACTTTAGGCAATAAATCACTTGCTACCACAGTCCACTGCACACATAATTCCCTTTCATGGCCAATCATGATTTCATGACCACGATAGGGGGTGTGCCCCGTGGACTGTGGTCACAAAAGCTCTAAGAAAGTGGAGATGATCAATAAGTTAGTAACGAGTGTACAGTGGAAAGGATAAACTAGGTGGACACATTTAAAATAAGAAAAAAAAGAGTTAAAAATGGTAATTTCATGATTGAAAAACAAACAATAAAAATTATTGAGTTGGCAGCGTTATTGATTTCCTTATCACGCGATAGGATAAGCATTTCATGGAAAAGATTATAATCTTTAGGAGCTGTTTCTTTTTACAAAATAGCACATTCAAATATACTATTCATTGAAAGAACTGGAATTCCTTAGGGATTGATAAACCCTTACATTATATGTATGATAATGGTTACAATATCCTGAACCTTTGCCACATCTTGAAAATTAAACTGAAAATGAAGTCAGAAATTCAACATTGTTTCCCGTATTTTGTTCTAATTGTTGAACAAACACTCCTTGCTTTCCCTGACACTGGAGCTGGATAGTAATTCAAAAAAGATCTTGTATCCATTATGAAGGATACACTCAGACTGGGCTATTGAGAATAAAGACAAACTTACCTGGTTCTGATTAGTACTCACTCAGACAGGTACATGTTGATTATCTGCAGTGTAGGGTAGGTAAAAAGATTGTCCAAGTGAATATTTTTTACTCAATTTTACTGTTTTGTTCGAGTTGGGAAGCATGCAGTAAGCCAATTATTGCATGATTTCTCGTCACTCGGGACTTATTACACCCCCTGTTACTCGAAAACCATGCAATAACCTTTACATATTTTACTCTTTGTGTTTAATTTGTGTGACTTCAGTTTGATATTATTATCTGTTATGAATACAAATACTTCCTCGGCTATCATACGGATTGGTTTTTATTCAACTTTGTAGACATAAAAAGTATCATCTTACTTATTTCTTTTGGTAGGTAAAATATTAGCTATCATGGTAAAAAAAAACCAAAAAACCCTTTAAGGGCATAAACATAAATAACAAAGAACACAGTTCATTGATGACACCTCCTTTATTTTATTCATAAAGTCTATAAATATGCTAGATAAATATGCTAAAATATCAGGGTTAAAAGTAAATACTGAAAAAACAAATGTTATTTGGATAGGTAAGAACAAAATTAGTGCTGATGTATATCATCTAAGGTGGAAACTAAAATGGGGAACAACCAAATTTACCTTACTTGGGATTGATTTCTCTGTCAATTTAGAAGACATGGTTACTGTAAAATTCAACAAAATTATTAGTAATATAGGTTGCAAGTTACATCAATAGTCAAAAAAAAATTTAACACCTATAGGGAGAATAACTGTTCTTAAATCTCTTATCATTGCAAAAAATAATCACCTGTTTATATCTTTCCCTACTCCAAGTAAAGACATAATTCAATCATTGAACAAAAAAAAAAAAATTTTTTTTTTCCTGGCAATCACCTATTGATAGAATAAAACGCTCAACAATTGTTTGAGACTATAGTGAGGGTGGACTCAAAATGATTGATTTGAAAAACTTTATATATGGACTTGAAACTAGCATTGACTTTAGTATCATATCTAAAAAGTGAGTTG